CACACACACACACACACACACACATACACACGAAACTGGACTTTATGGACTTACATCCTCATCCTTATCAGAGCAGGTTCCACAGATACAGCCAAACAGTCCATTGATCATCTGGAAGGCACAGAGGATGACCTCCAGGGCGGCGGCCACCAGCAGGGTGGAGAACAACCCCAAGTTGAATTCAACCACATTGTCTGGTACCAAACAAGTTTTCCAACTGTCCTTGTTACCCAGATAATTTCCATCACTAAAAGGAAGAAAACAGGGTTGCATTATGACAAAAGAGGAAAATAGCAAATATTTGAAATATAATTATTAAATGAACCCTCCTCTCACAGTAGTTTCAGGTAAAACTACATACCTGTCCATAAAAGGTCTTCCCCATATATTAGTGCCATTTTGTGGCATATATTGACAAACTGGCCCATTTTGAAGACCCACAGCTGCAACGGCCAAACTGTAAATGGCTCCCACCACACCAATCGCAGCAAACCCAATGGACAGGAACATCTACACACAGAACACAAGGCAAGCTTAGATTATGACTCTACAGTCATAAAACTAAAGGCATGGCACACAGCACAAAGATCAGTCCTAACAGTAAAGTGTTCATTCTAGATCTGCTGTCAGTACAAATTATGACAATGTAGTCATTCAGACGTTAGCGTAGCTTTGGACTGATGGAACCCACAGAAGCCCAGATGAGTACAGGAGCAGCCAGCTGGGATTGAAATGAGTCAGTCATTTAAAACTCCACACTAGGAGTCATCCAAGCATTTATTTCATCTTAATGAAGTCAAATTAACAGATAAATCCACTCCACTGGTTGCCTAGCTTAATACAGCCTGTGTGTTTGAAACTGCTGAAAGGCTTCCCCTCAGGTATTAGGCTACTTCTCTGGATTGGACCAGTTCCAGTACAGGTTGTAATTGCTAATCCATTCAGTGCCACAATAATTTGTGGCAATGAATCATCTTTGAACTGCATTTGTTTGTTATAACAAGTATCCTGAAGACGTGATGCTTATAAAAGGACACCAGATAAATTTCTTTGGCAGCTAATTTCTTCTTCATCCTGGATATTTTGAGGTTCTGGTTAAAAATGGTTAACTTATTTTACTGAACCAGATATCTAAACTTTAGCATTTTTACCAGTTAGTACAAAAACAATATGCATAATTGTATTGCAATACAAATCCTTTGATTAACTTTTCATGCTCCAATCACAACAAACATTTTTAACATGGCTTTTAAATTTCATTTGACAAAATGACTTATGGGCAACATTTTGATGGTAAAGAGTAAAAGATGCTGGCGCCATCCCTTTTGGGCTGATCGACCTCAACTGGTAGGTTCAGAAGAGTTAAGCTCTTTGATATCGGAGGTCTGACTAAAGGAAGTTAAAACTATTTAACATTTAATAGTTCATTCGCAGATTGAACCATCAGATCCTGATGACCCAAGCATCAAATTTTTGCCCTGAATTAAAAAGTTAAACCATGTGACTCAGACCACTCCTTAACAAGCATCAACCTGGACTTGCTTATATAACAGATTTATGGTATTAATAGTTAATCTTAGGTCAACGCTTCCTGCTTTCCAATCATGCAGCCTGGCCCTTATCACTGCTGATCAACTGAGTGACTGTCAGACATAATTAATTAGTGCCAAAGGTGCGACTCACCCCACAGCGGTTGGCGCAGCAGTTCTGTGCACTTGTCAGATGAATGTGAATGGCAGGAATAAGGACCTTTGAGATGAAAAAAGACAAGACAGCACAGGGGGAGAAACATCAGAGTTATGTGATGTTTACCTGTCCAAACACTGAACTGTGAAAAATTCACATTGTAATGAAAAAAATAGAGAAATAACTACAGAAAACTGAAGGGAACCTGGACAAAAGTTAAAATGTTAAGCATTCATTTTCAGTTTGAAGATATTTTTGTTAGTGCAGCTCTGCAAATCTGTCTTTTATCAAAGGAGTACTGTTACCAGCAGTTACTGTGTGTCTTTAAATTACACCATAAAGTAGTTTTATTGCTCTCAATTAGATTACTGCCAGTTTTTTGACTAGCTGGATTTTGCTTGATAATCCTCTCAAGCCAAAAAAAACAATCAGTAAAAAAGACAGTAAAATCTTTAAATCCCTTTGTTAACAATAAAACAATCAATTATTTGAAAAGAAATCTGTGACGTGGTCTCAAGAGACTGTAAGCCGAGCAAGTCAAAAAGAGAATGAGGCGGGAACGTTCCCGATAATCAAGTTCTCCTTATTTGGCTTGTATCAAAGCATCAAAGCCTGATTCCTGTAGGCCTACCTGACTAAAGAAGCATTTTGTATGTTATGAAGGTAAACCACACTGCTCTGCCCGTCATTCCTTGGCTCAAATCTTAAAAACAAACATTCCATCCATAACACAGCAGGTAATGTACTCACCATGATTCCTCCTCCAATAAGGCCTCCCATATATTTCACTTCATCTGTGAGCTTTGGCTCACTTTTGCTGTCTGCACTTGCATACTCAGTACTAAAGTCAGGGAAGAAGAGCATGATGTTGCAGATGACCGACACCAGAGCCAAGACATAGAGAGGGATGGCAATAAACTTGGAGCATGCCCCTGTGCACATTTTGCCTGATGGATGGAGAATTTGTCCTTAAGCAAAAGAAATCAGTTGATCCGGTTGATCAAATACTTAATTAAATTCCAAACCGCTTCAGTGATCAGTCAGTGATCAGATGCAACTGGAGGAAACTGAATAGATGCTTAAATATGTTACTAAGGGTGGAGCAGTTAAAGGTGGAGCAACAGGTGATAAGGAAATACAAGTTAATTATCATCTGAATTATGACCTAATCTGTAATTTGTCTGATTGTGTGGGTGGAAATAAGTTTCCATTAAAAATATGGCATATTAGGTACAATAATTCAGCTTCTTAGAGTCACATAGAATAAAATAAATAAATAAAACACTGCAAGCTGTCCATGTTTTAGAAGCTGTTAATTAATAATACACTTTGAATATCAATGCTTCATTCCTTGGTGGTGGTTATTGTGAGTTATGGATGTCCAATAATTTTGACAGGTTTTGATGTTTAATATTTTTAGTTATGCGGTTTGTGCTGTGGTCAGTGGTGATCTCAGAATGGCTGAGTCAGAGCTACATGCCACTATCTGTCATCAGAATGATAGAAAACTGATAAAGACCAACCCTGTCCTATCCTATAAGTGCCGATGACGGTGTTTATTTATCTTATCAATTGATGGACTTTATCCACACATTGTACAACATTGTAATCCCTTAATAGATAAAAAAAATAGCGCCTACATCAGAAGCTTTCACTGAGGTATGCTGCCATTTTTATTGTGATGTAGAAACACTGCACCTTCATCACATTTTCCACTGAAGCTTGGTTTTTAATATTGGTGGTTATCATTTTATCTAGTTTAGGGAATGAAAACCAGAATCCCCTCCAGATCACTGGTCCACTGGTGATGTCATGTTTTGGGCAGTTAGTACCCAAATTAAAATGTCAGAAATGTTTTACAACCCTTGGTATGCTGAGTATGTAATGATGACCTTCTCAGGTCATGTACATTATGTAACACAGAACATTGACTGTCTGACCCAAAGCAATGCAGTGGAACATAGAAAGCATGGCAGTGGTGCATTAGAAAGCTACTTTGTTTTATTTTCTTTCAGGTAGTTATGTTGGCCATCTTAATGTGGTGAGGGATTGTTTTCTGGAGCGTTAGCTCCTGGTGGAGTGTGGCATGGCAGTTTCAGGGTAGAGGTCAGACTAAGAGCAGTTTGGCGAAATGGCTGATCACAAGAAACGGCGAATCTTTCCCCAGATCAGGCAGACTGGAGCAGCGTGTGGACCCAGGCTTAGGGGAAGGGTGCTTGTCAGCAAGCACCTGTAGCTTGTTTCCACCCAAAGAAATTTTGGTTCAGTTTGTCATACTTTGAACATTGGTGCTTTGTTAAGAGCCAACTCCCATGTCCATCAGTTTTGGCCATCAAGGATATCTACATGTATACAGAGTATCTATATGTATAGTTGACCAGCATCTATAATAAAACATACCACATGTATAGCAGCTCATTACAACTCACTACACCAGCAGCTGATAGGTAATTAAATGTGAGATTTTGTAAATCGCACAAACTTGTTTTAAAGCTTTTATGCAGAAACATACTGATATATATTCATGAAGGAAGGTTCTAGAAATATTCTCCTTTTAACCCAGTAAAGCATGGCCTTCATAAACAAACAATGTTGTGCGGAGGGTTTAGATAGAGCTCCACCTCTGATTCAGTTCTTTCCATTTGACACCTATCAGTTTATGTAACACAGTCATGTGTTTCAAGGGTGAGCCAAGCTGTTTATTGACACTTAAGTCATGATTTTCCACTGGTAATACGTCTCTGACGGCATTAGGACACATTGATCCAGACACACCCACAACTTGGTGCAGTGACAGACATGCTAACACATACATAAAGAAATATTCTATCACTTCATCAGTACTTCATTTGAATTCAGAATATGGTTACACTATATCTGAGACTAAATGTAGTATATTAAAGAAGGAATATGAAGTAACATTCTGAGTTAGATGAAAGAGCAGAGAGTTACTGGCCAGAAGAAGCTGAACCTTCAGCTCCACCAATCATAGTGGTGGGAATATTTGTTGTCCTGCTCACTTCAGAGGTTCGTTCACTTTGATGAAGGTGACTGATTTGTGAATTCTTTGGTAGTTTACATTAAAAGAAAACAGCACAAAATATAAACAAAGAAATAAGAAAAAAATATTTCAAATTTCACATTTGATTTAATGTTTTAAAATTTATTTATTAACATCTAATATAGTAACATAACTATGTATTAAAACCCAGAAATTATGACTATTTGGGTACTTAGGTCATACGGATAACAATAAAATATATACTAGTACATCTAAAAATATATAGAATGTTGCATAAAAGCGCATTTTTTGTTGTCAGTCATCTCAGAAAGTGAAACTTGTATATAATATGCAGTCATAATAACACATAGACTGATATATCTCAAGACTTTGTTTCTTATAATTTTGATCATCATCAGCAGGACCCTGCTGATGACCCACAGATTTAAAAGCTGCAGGACATGACCATGCATACATATTACATTATATGTAATAACTGTTGGCACTTTTGGCTTTCTAAGAGTCATTTTTAAAGTTGGTTTCTAAATGTTTTATATTAAGCTAAATGCTCTTTGGCACTGGATCAACAGCAGCCTAGGCACGAGTTCCCTGATTATGCTTTCATGTTAGGTTTTAAGCCTCAATGGAAAATGATTGACGAGTCCTGATAAGATCTCTGACTTCAGAATTAAAACTCTAATTTTATTTAGCCACAAAGAAACACAGTGGTGCATCAATTAAGAATTTTTGGAAGCATGACATTGACATTTTAATCAATGAATCCCGGATCATTTTGCCATTCATTCAGGCCTATAGCTTACCATGTCATGTTTATCAACTGTCAAAGTTCACAGAATTGCAGCAATTCTTCAAAAGGTTGATGGAAATAATGTTTATTTTCAGGCAGCACATATGAAGAATTTTTCAAAGAAGGAATTCAAAACATCAAACTTTGAAAATCGCATACTTTAAACAGTCACAAACATAAAGTGTTTATGAACACTTGTGTGTGTTCCTCATGTGTGAACATGTGCTATTCAGTAGGATTACTCAGTGTAAACTTTGACTGAATTAACTCAATAAAGCTCAGGCAGTGGGATAATAATACACAAGACTCCTAGATAAGTTGTAAATAAGCCAAGCGATATCAGCATATCATTTCGAAGTAATCAAGTTTTGAGAACTCTGAAAGGAAGTCCATGTCCAGGTATAATGACATCAGCAGTATTCAGAGCCTTCTGTCGATTGACTTCCTGCACTGCACTGTTCAGACTCAGATCCTTCCAGCTGTTGTCATCGGACCAGCACTCAAACAAGTCTCCTGCAACAAGGACAGTTCCAACAGATGTTCCCTCCACCTGGACGCTGATGTCTTGTCCTGAGTGCCCTGGGGTGGGAACCACATACACCTGTGATGGAGGAAGACTGGATGAACTGAATTTACCAGACTTCATAGAGATGGTTCACACATGATTTTCTTTAATAGGTGATCATCCATTTCACAGTGAGAGATATTTTGATTATTGTTCTGATTCATGAGGATTTCACTGTGATGCTAAAAAGTAAAAAGGGGCGGAAATAATCAGGAACAATGGATGACTATGAAAAAAGCAGAACTCCCACTTGATCTCATGAGACATTATTTTGGGGATATACCTTAGGTCCAATTATTTTATTATCCATTACAAATTTTGTTCAAGGCAAAACTAATACCTGGAACACCTCCTGGAGATTGGTTATTCTGCTTTTTATTTTTTTGAAACATTGGTTTGGGAGAAGTTAACAATGAAATTCAAGAATGGAATCCCATCTATCCTAACTGTGCTGTGTTTATGTTTCTGAGGAGTTTCATTTCCCTTCTCCGGGTCTACAGCCATTTTACTGAAAGGTCAGCGTGACTACAGCTTTCTCTGTGAGGGGCCTTAAGCAATGCAGCGCTGTCTGTCCCTAACACGAAGTTTGGCTTGGCCAATCAGCTGGCTGAAAGAAGGTTTCCACAAACATCAGTTGTCTAGAAATAAACTTTGTGATTCTGCTTGTCATTTTTGCAGCCAGCTTGCAAAATCTACTGATTATGTCATGATCCCTGTTTTTGTGTATTTATATTAAGGTTTTTCTGTGTTCAGTTTCTGTCCTGTGAGTCTCTGTTGTTTCTGCGCCTTCCCCGTTGATTGATCCCAGGTGTGTCTCATTCCTTGATTACCCTCCCAGTGTATTTAGTCCCACCTGTTGTCTTTGTCTCTTGTCGGGTCCGTCGTTTGCACGTCTGTCTTACGTACGTCTTTGTCAGCGTCAGTCAGTTAGCCGTCGCAGTAGAACGGGTTAAGTCCTGTGTCGGCGTCAGCTCTGGTTTTCAGTCTTCAGTGTATCAGTGCTACCGGTAATTAGCTGCGTGCTTACTTTCTGCCGTGCCGCCTGTATTGGACTGCTGAGCTTCCGTCATTAAATATCACCATTTTCATCTTAACCTGGGAGTCAGCGTCTCTCCTCACCACCACCACCTCAACCTCATTTATGACAGATTATTTCCTTAGACAGAAATTGTTTTTAAAAAATGTATAAATAAATTGAACTTAACTGCATGGTTTGATAATTAAGATGAACTGGATGTATAATTGGATTGAATTGTTTTGTTTGTTTGGTTGGTTGGGTTTTTTTTTTTTACATATGTTGTGAATTGCTGCTGAATTGAATTTATCTGACTGTAGAAACGGAGCAGATCGTCCAACTGATCTAACATCAGCTCTGTTACTAAATCAAACTCACGAAAAAACGTTTTATACAATAATTCTAAGATTTAAATCAAATTGTTACATTATTTTAGCAAAAATAGAATAATTGTGGAATTTATATTTTGTTTGTTTTAAATAAAATTTGGGGATCTGAGAATCTATCCAGAACTAAGCCTGCCTATTTCCAGTTGTTGGAAAACCGAGGAGTTTGCCATCTGTGGTGTAAGAACTATTAGCAATACAAGCAAATAACGGTGGATTGTTGCGTATCTGCAGCCTTTTCACGAACACAAGTTGTACATAACTTTGTATTAGTGCAGTGTTTCTCAACCTTTTTAGGGCCAACGCCCCCCTAGCCTTTATCCAGGTCCCTCAACGCCCTCCGCCAAAGAATTTGTAGGCTACTTTGCACTGACTATTATTTTATTATTAATATTACTATCACTATTGTAGATGTTTTGATTTTTATGCTTGTTTCTATACTTATAATCAAAAATAATTTCCCAGAGAACAAAAAAGCCATGGGAATAGAAATTATTTTCACAGGCGTCTACGAAAAATGCAATGAACATTCAAGTTAAAATTGGTAGGCCTAACAGCAGCCAATCAGAGTGGAAAAAATATTCTTATTTTGTGCCATTTTCTAGTTGTTGAATATTCCACAAAATGATCAGATAAAAGATGTTCAACATGCCAGTTTAAACTTTGATCTATTTGCAAACCGACTGAGCTCTGCAACATGAAAACATGGATAGAACCGTAACTACATTAATCATAACTCTTCTTCTCTTCAGTGTTTCTGTCGGTTTCTGGTGGTGCAGCTCTGTGCTGCCTTCAGGAGAATGGGATATCAGAGTATCATCCATAAAATTTCACCCACATGGCATTTACTGTGCAAACCAGAGCTTTCAATGGAAAAACTAAAGTTCCTTTTAATGCCATAGAAATATGAGACAGAAACATGGATTATATCTTTATATAGACCTGTCTATTGATTATAGATTAATAGTTTTACTGGACAGAAATTACAAAGAACAAATCTGGTTCTTAATCAAATCCTAATGAGTCAAATTGAAAGTGTCATGGAGTGTCATTTAGTTTCCTTTGATTAGTATTATCCTCTCTTGGTTTATTGCTATGTCAACTTTAGTTTCTTTCCTGTTGCTAGATTTATTTTATCGTTTATTGACCATCATTAATCTTCACTCATCACCTGCTGCGCTGCCTAATCATCATGTTTCACATCATGTGTTGATTTTTCACTGTTCAGCGTCGGATTCTCTGTTTTTATGCCATAATTCACATCTAGTTCGTCGCTCCGTTTTATGTCCCGCTTCTCCTGTTTCAGAGTTTTGCGCAATGTGCGTGTCGTTTTTTATTTGATTTTTTTTTTAACCCCCTAAGGTGCAGGGCGGTCGGGAAACGTATCGCTGCGTTAAAGGCAGACTGACATAAACCTTTTAAAACAACGGAAACAATTTCGGTATTCTGATTATTGAAATTTAAAAGTGCTGTGTTGTTCCATCACCCCCGTTTCATA